AACTGGCAGCAGAACTACGTCGTAGGAATGTTACTTTCCCGGCCACAGCTAGGAAAGTAGAACTCTATAAATTACATACAAAATCCAGGTCCCCTACTAAGCTTTTCCCTAGGAAATGACTGACAGAGGTCAACATTGACACCTTAGCTTATTATTTGCGCTACCCACCCCTCCCCCCACCTGGTTCAATTTTTGATCTCTGGTTTTACTGATGGTTTACACACAGGGTTAGTAGCACTCCCAACAGACACACCAGAATGCCCTAATTTACTCTCAGGTACAAACGACCCATCTGCTGTTCACGAATTGCCACGGAAAGAGACCATATCAGGTTTTATGATTGATCCTTTTCCGCACCCTCCTTTTTCCACATGGCGAACGACCCCTGTTGGAGTAGCTACCAATAGCACATCTAATAAAAAACGTTTGATAATCGATTTGTCCGCGCCTCATTCTTCACAAAACCCTAGTTTAAATTCACTAATACCGGCTGAAGAATTCTCTCTCCATTATGCCTCTGTGGATCATGTCATACAGGCTATTCTACCGGCCGGTGAAGGAGCCTGGCTCAGTAAGACGGATATTACAAACGCATTTAAATTACTACCTATCCATCCATCTCTCTGGCATATCCACTGCATCAAATGGAGAGATAATTATTACTTCACCACCAGACTCACTTTTGGCTCCAGGAGCAGCCCAAAACTGTTTGACATATTTGCAGAAACTCTATGCTGGTTGCTCCTGAATAAGGTCAGATGCCCCAGGGTCATACACTATTTGGACAATTTTCTACTGGTCGAGACAGGTTCCCTCACTCCACGTAGCATCCTTAGCATAGGCCCCACAACATAGTTGGTATTCGTTGGTAACTCACTAGACATGGTGTCTAAGCAGGCACACCTCCCTGATGCGAAACTGATACGCATTAGACAAGAACTGGACCAGTTCCTCCAAAAAGGTACTGGTAAACAGAGGGATCTCCAGTCTTTCCTAGGATACCTCAATTTCACAATGCGTGTCATTCCACAGGGGAGATCCTTTATCTCCAGGTTACTCTGCCTCCTGCCCAGCGTGCCTGTCGATGGCATTATAGTCCCCAATCCCCCAGCCGTAGCTGATTTTTTCATGTGGAAGCACTTCCTTGCAGAGTGGAACGGCATCTCCATGTTCATTCCCCCACTGACCGAGCACTCCCCTGTTATTTGGACTGACGCAGCAGTCCACACTGGGTTCGCTGCAATTTTTGGTAACCACTGGTTTAGGAATGTTTGACCTCAAGAAACACTTACCTTACCGGCCTTCATGGAAACCTCAGCCCTTTTCGAGATCTATCCCATTGTAGCAGCAGCTCATACTTGGGGTCATCTGTGGGCCGGTAAGGCAGTCAAGTGTTTCTCAGATAATTTGGCGGCTTGCAAGATCATCAAAAAGGGCTCCTTGACCATAATGTGATTGATACGTAAATTGACGTGGCTGACCGCCAAACTACAATTTTTCTTGATGTGCAAACGCATTCATAATACGACAACTGACACAAATTTTCAGGCATTTTACAAGGTGCATCCCTTCGCCTACGAGCTCCCATCCAGATTCCCGACATTTCCAGAGCTACTCATGGATTAACGGGATTATTGACCCACGCACAGTCACTCTCACGCAACGCTTTGTCCTCCAACACTGTAGCAGATTGCATTGGGCTGTCTGCCAAAATTGTGTGTTAAAGTGTGCTTTCGTTAATTTCCTGCTATGTGTATTCATATTGTATGCAGCATTCGACTGATTGTTCGGTAAAATCACTCAGTTCATCATACGAATGAAACTACCGAACAATCAACAACCCTAGGGATAAGTGTGCCTCTCGTTTACCCCCCTGATTCAGTGTCACCACCAGCTAACTGGCAATTGAGTAACCCCTCCATGTGGGCTTGCTGGGTGGCCGCCGTTCGGCATACGAACACATGGTGGCAGCCATCTTACATATGAATGCTCAGCGGTGTTTGATCGTCAAATGTCTGGAACCTAAAACGGACACTCGATTACCCGAACACCGCTAAGACCTCCAGGGCTCCAGAACTACCAAACAGAACCAGGAATCAGGCCATCATTCATTTAAATAGGGGAATGGGCCTTGACATTACATTATGCTAGAATTTCAAGGTAACACACCTTGTGATAACACACCCAATGTGCCACACATAGCATTATTGGCATGCCGCCATTCACCCATATCGTTTCCTGTTCTCATGTTTGCCAAAATTGTCAGGAATGTGAAAAGCTGACTGTGTTGATCTAAAACCAGTTCATACAATAAGGATCAAACTAGCGGAGTTACAAAACTAACCAACAAAGTCAAGTAACCCTGACTTCACCGAGTAAACGCTACGACTCGAGGAAGATCAAAAATACATTCATTTACACTCTCAAGCACCACAAATTAGATAGTAAACTATGTGTAGTAATAATTTGAGAATATGTAGTATTTTAGAGTAGTATGTATGATATAAACATGTAATTTAATGTCTCCAGATTAATAAGGAAACATTTATTTAGTAGCTTTTTTTTTGTTCAGATTTTCATCAACCCATACCCTCTTACATGCCTTATTGTACTCATTACCACTATATATTACTGACTCTGTCTATGTAAGTGTAAAAAAAAAAACCTCCTAACCCCTTGTCGTGTGTAACTGGATGATTTGGTGGTGTGGTAGGTGCTAATTCGCAACTGGTAGCCCATTTGCATAGAGTGTTAGCCCATAAAGGTCAAATTCCATAACACATAATACATTTCAGCCATATATTCTGTAGTGATGGTATAGCACAGGGCATACAATTGGAAATGCTATGTTACTAGCCAGGCCTTAGAAGATACTCACCACTGCAAACTATACTCACCAGGGGCGAATTTCTACTTTTTTTTCTATAATACATATTCTTTGAGGTTTGCTGACCCTTGCTCAGTAGCACCCTGTGTTGAAATATTGTGGCTGAGTGCGACCCTGCCTTTTTTCTACAAACATACACATGGTCACAGAGACATACATTCAAACACAAGGACACTCACAGTAAGACTCACACTCTCAAATATACGTAGAAATACACAGCCCAATACACATTGTGACTGCAGTCTGTATTTATGTGTGTCTTTGTGCATCAGTGAGATATTTATTAATGGGCACACTGACTGAAATATTTAATAATGGGCACACTGACTGATATTTATTAATTCAAGGGCCCCCTTACAGGCCCCACCCATACTCTGCAGCAAGCGCAACCCTTGTCCCGCCTCCATGCACCGCCTCCAGCCACACCCTACACAATCTTTAGACACAAGGAACAAAAGGGCAATAAGCCCTTCGAGGCCCCAGTAGAGACTACAATTGAGGGCTAATGGGCCATGGAGGGGGTCTTTCTAGCGGAGGCTATCTCAGTGTCCTTTAGAGAGTGTGTTAGATAGAATCCCCTCCAAGCCCCATTAGAGACTACAATGGAGTCTAAAAGGCTTGGAAGGGGGTCTTTCTAACAGAGGCCATCTCAGCGTCCATTAGATATCCCCTGCTGGAAACAGTCGCCTCCAGGCCCCAGTAGAAACTACAATTGAGGGCTAATGGGCCATGGAGGGGATTTCTAGCAGAGGCTAGAGTCTAATGGGGCCTGGAGGGTGGTCTCTCCAACACTCTGGTTCCTATTCACAATATAGCAACACAACATAGCTCGCTGATACCTAAGCCAAGTTGGCTCCTCTTACCTTAATTACTGTTGCTGGCTGGCAGTCTGTGGGCTTGCTGGCTGCGGCTGGCAGGCTGTGGGCTTGCTGGCTACTGCCGGCAGGCTGTGGGCTTGCTGGCTGCGGCTGGCAGGCTGTGGCTTGCTGGCTGTAAGCCTGTGGCTTGCTGTAGGCCTGTGGGCTGGCTACTGGCCTGTGGGCTGGCTACTGGCCTGTGGGCTGGCTACTGGCTGGCTACTGGCCAGCCTGTGGGTTGGCTGGCTGGCTACTGGGGCACTTGTAGATTATTTAAAGAAATAATCCATGCACAATAACCACTACTGCTCCAGAGTAAGTAGTCAAACCGTTTAAGAACAGTTTGACAACTTACCTGGGGTCTGCTGGGATATGAGGCTGTAGTAGGGAATAGGAGCAGTGGTGCAATGTGTGTGAAAGGTTCAGTGTGTGTGTGGGGGTGTAGTGTGTGAATGTGTAGGGTGTGTGGGCAGTGTATGTGTGTGGCAATGTTAGTATGGGGGGCTGTGTATGGGGTTCTGTGTGTATATGGGTGGGCAGTGTATGTGTGTGAGGCAATGTGTGTAAATGTGTATGGTGTGTATGGGGGCAGTGTGTGAATGTGTATGGTGTGTGTGTGTGGGGGCAGTGTGTTTATGGGGCTAGAGTTCACTCTCACCACTGCGACCACCAGGAATCCATGGGGTTTACAGTGTTGAGAGTGAACTCTAGCCCGTAGCTCCAGGGCTAGAGTTGACTCTCGCAAGAGCAGTAACGTTGCCATGGTAACCGCGGCAGCGCTCTGTGCTCGCGCAAGAAGGACCCAGAGGAGCTGCAGGGTGATCTCCCAGGTCCTCTCTTCCTCCCCTGCCCGCACGGTGCCTGCGGACAGGGGAGGGCGGGGCATTCTTCCCTCTCTTTCTCCCCCCTCCCCCAACTCTCTATTCCTCCTCTTTCTCCCCGTGTCTCATTCTTCCCTCTCTGTCTCTTTCTCCCCCTCCCTCTATTCCCCCTCTTTCTCCCCGTGTCTCATTCTTCCCTCTCTGTCTCCCCCTCCCCATCTCTCTATTCCCTGTGTCTCATTCTTCCCTCTCTGTCTCTTTCTCCCCCTCCCCATCTCTCTATTCCCCCTCTTTCTCCCCGTGTCTCATTCTTCCCTCTCTTTCTCCCCATCTCT